CCTCTATTTGTGTCGCGTTCATGGTTTCCGCGTTACTTTCTTGTTGTGCCCGTGCTGGTTGATATCTCCGGGTATCTCGGATTAATTCTTCTTCACTGTCACTGTCAAGTTTGTGTTTAGTTTCCCTATAAAGGCCTGGAAAACTCATAAGGCGACTAATTTGTTGACACTAAACACACGTTATTGGGAGGCCGAATGTTTTAATTCGACAAATTAATTTTGTATATTATAATTTTATATTAATAACTGGGTGCTTGGCGTCCGAAGGAAACTTTTATTTAGGGACGGCCGATATTAATTCACTTTATTTGTAAGTCAGCTTTACAATTGCTTTATTCAAACTGTATATTTTTTAATTTTGGGTAAATAGTTTGTAGGGATTTTTATTTATTTTTCCCTGTATATGTATTTGAAGTTGTACTGTATTAATTTTGATCAGCCCACTTACATATTTTTGTGTCGCGGATTCGGTATTAAAGTTGGGTGCCAATTATGTTTTAGTTGTGCAGCCTCGCACTGTCCCTCGCCGCTGTCCGTGAGGGTGAGGAGTTGCGATCCAATTGCCACCGGGGGAAGGGGTGAAGACGTAATTGCCACCGTGGCTGGCTGCTCATATGGATGTGCCGGGCGGTTGCCAATGGTTCTCTTCTCTCTTCTTACGAAGACTACGTTGGGAGTAACTGACTCCGTTGCTAACGGCCCTTAAGGCTCGATAACCAATTTCAATTAATAGAGTAAGTGCTTACGGCCACTGCCGGAGTTTTACATTCAAGCCAATGCTCTTTATTAAATGTCCAAATTAAAACTGAAAACATATATGACTTTACGTATGTGTGGATGTTGGTATGATACAGTCTCTGGAATTTCACCAGAAGACTAATTTTATCATTATGGTAATATTGCTTCAGACTCTAACGGTGCTGTGTTTCGTTGTCTGCGTGATGTCGCTTAAGAATTACCGTTTTAGCGGGGCGACAGCGTTGTGTCGCTGTGGACGAGTATAGTTCGATGGTAAGCACAGAAAAATGAAGGGATGACGCTGGCAGTTTCGTATAGGATTTTGTGCTTGTGAAACCGAAACTCGCTGCGCTATTACAATGGCGGAAAATATTAACAATGGCGGAAAATAATAACAATGGCGGAAAACAATAATGTTTAACAAGTGATCTCTTTACAGTTTTTTCCACAACGTTTTTACTTCTGAATATGAAGCAGACGTCAGTAATTAAAGGCTCCGGAGCTTTTCAGACCGGAAGTCGATGCGTTTTATTAATAAAATCAGGCCGTAAAATTAGGTAAAATGAACTGCAGACCAGAGATATTATATAAACATGGTTACATTGGAGAAATCTCCATAAACTCACGTCATATTCCGTGAGGAAGCCTGTAGGTGATAAGCTCCATTGTGCTGCAGCACATACTCCGTCCAGTAAATCGCTGTGTCTAGAGCTGTTGAGCGCTGGTCGAGCAAGAATTTTTGGCGGTACCGAGCTGCACTTTTGTAGCAGGGATCATGAATCACTTTCATAATAGCCTTGTAAAGCTGATTGATCGAAATTGTCTGAAGATCTAGTTTAATGGCATAACCATCGACCTCGGCCTTAGCTGAATTAACATCGTCATCGCAAGACACCTGCACTGTGACGACGATCACCAGGTGAAACACCCCAAGCGTCCATGAGTTACAAATGCCCGAAGCTTGGGATGGCGGTAGCCATCGCAAGAGCTTTACATTAGAAGTTAGATCTTTAATATCTGCGAAACTGCCTTCATACTTACAAGCATGAAACGCAGAACCTCTGGCATATTCGCAGCCTTTACCGAAGATCCCATGGAAACATAAATGAACCCCGGATGCCTCGACGAATTCCTCGAGGTTCCTGGGAAGTTTTTTAGCAGCCTTACAGTGAATGCAAGCCCCCTCAGCCACATTTGGATCAATAGCTCTGGGATAAGACACAACTGCGTGTTTATTCGGCAAAATAAAGCTCACATTCTGCGACAAGTCGTAGAGATGTGGGCCCTTAAAATGCTCTCTCAGCATAACATACTATAACGGAAATGACAAAGATATTGATCACGTCCTTAGCTTTACTTTGTTAATAACAATATTTTAATTAAATAAGTGGTAAAGTTGAATACCAACGAATTTGCGCGTCCCCCAAGAATGAGTTTCCATCATAAATGTTGAAGTAAATTGTGAAACGTTACATAAATGTTACTTAAAGCTTAATAAATATTGTATTCCAGTGTGACATTGAAAACATCCTAAGATAATTTTGGGGCACCTAAGTACTCAACATCAACCACAAATTGGTTCTACAGGTAGGGTGGTCCAGGAAAACAAGTACAATCACATCTAAGTTTTTCTGTCAAACATATGGAGGTCAAACATATGGAGGTCAAACATATCGGAGGACCAAAATGTTAGGGAATGCTAAATGACACAACCTCTTCTTTTGAGTTCTTAATTAAAACTGTTTTATTTTTCTAACAATTTTTCCAAGATTCTTATTCAAGTCTCATACTGGGCCTTCGCAGAGACCGCATCTGTTTGCCTGAGAGGAAGAATTAATTTTTGACTCCCGCACAGGACTGGTGCAGTGTGTGAGACACTCCTGAATCGATAATATTTAGTAGTTCGACTAGACTAATAAACAAAAATCTTTTTTTTTTTAAGAAAAAACGAGTTGCCTTACAATTACATTTAATTAAGTACCCATCATACCCTCCTGAAAGTATGGTGAGGAGGTGGTATCTATTTTAATTTGGATATAGTACATACATTTTTTGGTGTGAGGCCTACTCTCTTGCACCCTCTCAAAACTCTCTGTAATTATAAAGATAGGAAAGAAAATACGATTAACTATAATGTAATGAAAGGTTAGAGAAAACAAACTTACTTTTTTTCGAACCCATCCATCAGAGCCTTGGTTCGAACGAAGGACCTTTGGATTTGCATCAGCAGGTTGCGCTATCGCAATCGTCTGTGCCCTAAGCCCGTACAAGAATTCAAACGGAAATGGTTGTAATCAAATGCCTTTAATTTAGCTAGTCTTTTAAATTCAGCTGAGTAAAAACTAAAAATAACAATAAAGGAAGCAAACTTAGACAAGCTGAATTTCATATACGCTTACAGCCAAAGTAAAAATGAAATATTCTTTAAAACATATAAACTTTGATTGCGTATATGTTTAAAAACACTGAAGCTATGAAGATTTTCAGCTCAATTAAACTATCAAGTGAAATCTTGAGTGTCATTTTTGAATCAGGGAGTCCATCTGCACCGGAAAATCAAGACTTGATCTCTGGAGGATTTCACACATCAGGAGTCTCAAAGACTCCATCGCTATTCACTGCATCTGTAGGGGATGCTAACTAAATGAAACAACCGTTTTGTTGTTTCAAATATTGTTTCCAAAATTCTTATTCTAGTCTTATCTATGGCCTTCGCAGAGACCGCATCTTTTTGCCTGAGCGGGAGACTTATCTTTTGTCCCCCGCACAGGAGGTGCTATAATATTAGGCATCTCAATTGGCCTGCACTTACAGATTACAAGTACTAAGAACTGCACCTGTGTCTTGTTTTGATAAATAAATTATGACTCTAGATCGATTAACTAGACAAACACAGAGCTCATTAAATCGTATACTTTATGAATATTTGTGTTCTTTTGAACATCATCCTTAATCTCTTTGGAGATCAGAGCACGTTTGTCTTTCGACTCCTCTTGCGCATAGCGGCAAATGGGCGGTTGTCCTGAGTGACCCACTCGGCGCACGTTTGACTGAAAAAGTATTTTAGCACCTTACCGCAAATACTGCAAAGAACCCAGACTTCCATAACAGTTTTGTCCTAGAAATATTTAAAATATTCATTTCGCCTTTGCGCTTTATAACCCACGATCAATGTTTTTTAATTTGGTTTTGCACGTGAACACAGTCAAATAATGAAATAAAACTATTAAGCAAAACAAAGCTCGCAAGACAAGTTTGATATACACACATGCAGAGAGAGCATGGTCAGGTTTATTTCACTGGACACAAATGCCTTAAAGCATAATTAAATCGGTTCAGACTAGCGAAAACCCTTACTGCAACGACTGCAAGGACGGAGAGATAGAAGACACTGAGCACACATTCTTGACATGCCCACTCTTCAACAGGTAAAGGCGCAGAATAGAACAAGTCATCCAGGACCTTTCACCAGACACACTGGTAAGGCGCAAACACGGCTGCTAACATCATGAAGGAGCTCCGACGCCGAGAAAGGACCCGAACTCCAGTTAATGGATGATTGACGAACTTTCCATCCTGTGAAGTAATGCGACTGTTTCGCGGGACTGAACACAACACCCAACCCATACACTACCCACATCCCAACCCTGTTATGTATATATTTGTTAAATAAAATAAAAAAACTTACCATGGTGTTTGCGTGGCACACAATACAGGCATATTACTCCTAGTCCTCGTACATTGCTTTACGTTTTTTGTATGACTTGCACAAACTGCCGAAAAATTGGAGGGGTGACCGGTGAGAAAAATTGGTTGCAGTGCATGAAAGAGTGGCTAAATATTTCGCACCCAAAACACACAAAAAGCCTTTTAAAAGTGTGTGCCAGTGCATTGCTTTGCAGGTGATTAGTGCCCCCGGGACATATAGGTTTATGGATGTGCGCAAGGTGGGAAAAAGTGGCACTCTTTCAGATCTTTGATACACACCGCAGATGTATCTACATCCGCTACAAAATCGATCACGGCATCAGCTACCTACGCATTACTGGATGGTATATTTGCAAAGTTTGTGGTGCCCCAGAGATTTCTGACGATGGAACGAATTATAAATCCGCGGAGTTTAATCATTTTTTGACGAACGGGCAAGCGGAATCTTATGTTCAAACACACAAGACAACTTTGTGTTAATTAAAGGCATACCCAAGTTAATTCCCTTATCATTATAATAACGCTCCAATTTTCAAAACAGACGAGTCACCATCTAAACTGTTAATGGGACAACTCACACGTTTTAATCTTATTCGCCTTGAAAGACCTGATAGCCCATTTTGGTTTGGACTATTAGTACTCGTACAATATCGTTTTTGGCTTATCAAAATGAACACAATGTTCTTCCTATCATCTCAGTTTCTTTTAAAATAACATCTCATTTAATCAAATAAAGAACAAATTATAAATATATTTACAAAATAATTTTTCCAAAATATATGGAAATCACTACAAATCCCTTTTAAATCGTTTAACAAGTGATCTCCTTACAGCTTTTTCGATTTCGTTTTTACTTCTGAATATGAAGCAGACGTCAGTAATTGAAGGCTCTGGAGCTTTTCAGACCGGAAGTCGATGCGTTTTATTAATAAAATCAGGCCGTAAAGTAAAGCTAAATAAACTGCAACCACATCGAGTAGATAGTATTGCCACCAGCTAAGTATAGAGAAAATATATAAACATAGTAACATTGAAGAAATCTCCATAAACTCACGTCATATTCCGTGAGGAAGCCTGTAGGTGATAAGCTCCCTTGTGCCGTAGCACATACTCCGTCCAGTAAATCGCTGTATCTAGGGCTGTTGAGCGTTGGTCAAGCAAGAGTTTTTGGCGGTACCGAGCTGCACTTTTGTAGCGCGGATCATGAATCACTTTCATAATAGCCTTGTAAAGCTGATTGATCGAAAGTGTCTGAAGATCTAGTTTAATGGCATAACCATCGACCTCGGCCTTAGCTGAATTGACATCGTGATCGCAAAACACCGGCATTGTGACGACGGGCACCCCGTGAAACACCGTTTCAAACATGCTTAGCAAACCTCCATGAGTTACAAATGCTCGAAGCTTGGGATGGCCCAAAATATCTTGTTGCGGTAGCCATCGCAAGAGCTTTACATTAGAAGTTAGATCTTTAATATCTGCGGAGCTGCCTTCATACTTCCATAGCACATGATACGGCAAGCGTGCAAAGGTCCTTACAAGCATGCGCCGCAGAGCCTCTGGCATATTCGCAGCCTTTACCGAAGATCCCATGGAAACATAAATAAATCCCGAGACTCCGGATGCCCCGACGAATTCCTCGAGGTTCCTGGGAAGTTTTTTAGCAGCCTTACAGTGAATGCAAGCCACCTCTGCCACATTTGGATTAAAGGCTCTGGGATAAGACAGAACTGCATGTCCATTCTGCAAAATAAAGCTCACATTGCGCGACAAGTCGTAAGGATGTGGGATGTGGGCTCCTAAATGCTCTCTCAGCACAATGTGTGTCCTCCGCATAACATACTATAATTGAAATAACAACGATCTTGATCAATTGCACTGTAAATCCGTGGTCCACTCACCATGTGCATCAGGTTTTGTCCAATCTGCATGGCCGTGTTGACTGCCCGTTCATAGAGGCTCATAGTGTCCGTAAATCGAGAGTAAAAGTTCGGAGTTATAGCGTAGCTAACGGGATTTCCCGCTGTCGAAAGACTACCTGTGTAGAAGCCCACCGTGTTTATGTACATGAACGGGATCTTAAACTGGTACATCAATCCCAAAAAGCACTCCGGGAAAGCTCCATCCAATACTGCTAAGTCAAAGCTCCGATTTGCCAGCTCTTTCGTCTCAGTGTCACCAAGCATGGCGTCGCACGACTGTTGATAAAAGAAAATAGTACGAAACCTTAGTCGTTAAGTTGTACAGTCAAAAAAAAAAAAAAGATTCGCGTCATATAACAAATATCAAAATAAATATTCCAAAAGAAAACAAAGGAAGTTTGGTGTCATCTACCAAACTGCATTAACAACACAACAAGCAAAAAGCAAACAGCGCACACACACCCCGCCAAAAGCGGCCCCATATAATGCAGTCCAGCGACAGAGCACGACACAAACAGTATAAAGCCCCGTGCAAATTACTTATACCAATGAAGTGTTTTCAAATTTTGGCAAGCTGACGAGTATATACCCATGCAGTTATAAGAAGAAGAATCTATTATAAAAAATATATTTTTCAAAGCCAACGAGGCTATGCCGATCTCTCAATATTGTTATGTAAATTAACCGACAGATGGTATGGCAGCTATATAGCTATAGCTATGTAGCAGCTATTCGAATATTCGAATTCAATAAAATTAGAAAAGTACTATAATGATAGTGCATTACAACTCAGCCTAGTTAACAGACCGTCGGATTTATTCAATTAAAGGGGATCTGGCAGATCAAGAACGAATAAGGATTCAAAGCTTAAGGAAGCTTCCCCACACTGAGCACTTCAAATGCTTGCTCGACTTTGATTGAACGTCTTTAATAGCTCAACACCGTTACATACCGCGCTGCTTGACAGCGGGATGAGTCAGTCCCAATGCCGCTTCAACAAGCATGGTTAATAGTTTTTTCCTCAAAACACCACTTGGACTCTCTGGTTATCCCACGATTTTACGTACAGCCCCACATAAAAGACCTACAAAATCTGCAATGCCTGCTGCGGAATAAGCTGCATCTACGCGCGAACAATTTTCACTGACGACCATGCGAAGTTTAAACTTATCAACTTAAATCGAAAAGTGGCTTCAGCTTCGCAGAGCTGACCCCTACATGCAAAAATGACCAGAAATATACAATGATATTTTGCAGTAATTTTTGTACCAAGTAGAAGTGTTAATGTGCATGCCTGTTTGTTTTTAAAATTGTGTGAAATGAAATTGTTGTTTTGTACACAGGCGGGTATTTTTGTGTTTCTCCTGCTTTCTTATTAGCATTTTGAATGCCTTTTGTGCTTATGTGGGGATTTAAATAAGTTGTAGTTTTGGGAAATGGTTTAATGGTTTTAGGGTAGAAAAAAATGCTCTTTGGGCTAAAAGGGAATTTTAGGAAGGTTCAGTAGTCTGGCCCATTAAATGTTAGCCCGGAGTGGTCTTAAAGGATTCGTAAATAGCCTTTAATAAGCTCGAAAGCACTGAAGAAGTAGGGTAGAAAACCAGTTTGATTGCATATGTTTCGTCGGTTACGCTTTAGCTTAAATTTCTGTTTGCCAAAGAGCCATCTGTGTAGACGAATTGAAAGAGGAGTGTTGGATTTGTTGTAACTTAAATGTTTAGTGTTGGTTGCATTTTTAATTGATTCATTTTTGTATTGTTAATAAGGTTAGTTTTTAATCTGCAAGTTGAAAAAGTAATATTTCTTTAAAGATTCAATTATACTGGTATATTTAGATTTCATTTTGGAGTGTGTCGTGCGAGTGCTTATGGTTTTTTGGGAGTTTGTCTGTTGAAAGTTCTCTCATGCCTATTGTGTTTGTTATACCCGCTATTCGTAGCGTTAAATTTTATTCGTTGAAAAGTATGTAGCAAGTAAAAGGATGCGATTCCGGCCTTTTAAAGCTTATATATACATATATATATATATATATCTCAACATCTCGAAAACTATGAAAACTCGTGAGACATGTTAGACCTAGTATATGTGTTGTGTGTGATTCGGATATATATACTATATATATACTATAGGGTAGACACAAAAATCGAGGTTTTAGTTTAGAAGATATTGTGTGACGTCACTGCATATTTAAAAAACAGAGTTCGTGCGAAGAGTAAGTAATTTGCTCAGGAAAACTGCTTGTATATGTTTGTGCTTCAATGAGTTGTTCGTGTCGTCCGAAATGCAGCACTAGGCTGCTCCTATTGTGGCTTGTTTAATGTCCAGGTGCGTTAGCAAAAAATGTTTTTTTTGTAGATTACTTGCGAAATTGATATGTACAAAATGCCTTCATCTTTTCTTAAAAGTTCTTCTCTTAAATCAGCTTTCTGGTGCAACCTATGTTGTTATTGCATCATCTCTTATTATGAACATACACCAACTCTAAGTTGGACATTTAACCTCAACCCGGCCGTTTCACTATTTTAATAGGAACACAACATTTTGAGGCGACTAGTGAACAAAAACAAAGCACAAAATTTGTGCAGCAAACTTTTATTTTGTGTATTTCGTAGTAATGGCTAACAATGCCTGACAATCAATATTCAAACGTTGTTGGCTCAACAGCAACAATTTGCAAATTCAAAATTCTACTCCAATCCACGCATTTCGCACAGCTGCGTTGCAAGCGTTCCGCCCCTCGATAACGTTCTCTTAATTGCCGACACATACCAATCAATAACAAAAACAGTGGCAGAAAACAAAAATAGAAAATAGAAAAAAGAGCTTTTTATAGAACGCAATCTTAGTACACCAGTAAAATTAACGGACCTTAATGGTATTGACGCAAAAGATTGTAAAACTGCGGTCAATCACATACTCGTGAAAATTGCATATTTCGCTACGCAATTTACCACAAGTGTGTTTAAAAGGAACATATTGCTGTTATTAGCTTATCCAACCAGTGCAAAGACGAAAAAGGCACCAGTCAATATTACAAGAAACAAGATCCCAGAAATAGTTCAAACAATTTACAATTTTTAAAGTTTAGTTAAGTTATAGGGAAACAAAACCGGGATTAGAATTGGATTGTTTTGTAAGGTACTCAAATGTCGGATCTTTGCAAAAATTACATCGAAGTATTTAAGGCAGCTATCGGTACAATAAAACTTTGAAGCAGGCATTTATTTAAAATTGAATTCCGTACCAAAATCCAAAAATAGCAGGGAAATTATATTTGTCTTACATCAGCAAAAAAAACGGAGTCCGAAAGCAATTGGTCATCGCCAATAGTACTAGCACCCAAGCCAGGTGGATCACTATAATTTTGCGGCGATTTTAAACATGATGTCAATTCCCAACTCGAGGATTAAGCAAAATCCATTGCCAACACGTGAGTCATGGAACACATTTTTCCAAAACTCAAAACGCCGTTTTTCAATTGGATTTAATAAAAGCAAAAATTAAAATGTTAAAAAAAAAAAACGGGTGGACATTTTTCAAATATTTTTTTTTTTAAAGAATCCGTTTTTCTATGTTCTATTCTGGTTGTCGACACGCCGTTGGGTCTTTTGCAGTATACACGTTTGACCTATGGAATAGCTAGCGCTCCAGTTAAATTCCAGTGTCATCTTGAGCAACTTCTTAGTGGAATAGAAAGCTGTGGCAATTACTCTGTCTGTCAAAAAAATACCGGGACTGGATTAATTAAAAAGCCCGTGATAAAACGATTTTGGAATTTATTTGGTAATGTTGGTAGCTTTTTTCTGCAATACGAAGGGAAGTTTGTGGGCAATCTGTCAAGTAATTTGCTTATAGTCGTAATTGTAATTGTATATGTAATTATCTTTTCTTAAATGTTCCTCTCTGAAATCAGCCTTTGTAATTACTGCATTGTTATATACCTTGTACACACACCAATACACACCCCAAGCTTGTATAAAAGGATGGCCACTGTTGGAAAAAGGCGATTCCTTGATCTGAGAGTTTCCAGACTCGGGTGGGTGTGCGTCGATTCCTGAAATTTGCGAAAGGCTGGCGAAGAAAAAAAAGCGAGACGAATGCGAGCGGTTTTTGATGGTATGCAACATTGAACTGTTTTCTTTTAATGGCAACATCAAGAATGCAGTGCTATTTACATAGTTTTAAAAAAGCAAAGCAATTAAATTTATTTTTAAAATAACATGTTCAAGTGTCCGTTGAATTCAAGTAAAAGCCGCTGACCAAACAGTCACAGAACAGAATAAAATCAGTTTGACATTTGTTCTAAGCCCGATCGTTTTATTTTTTTAATAGGAACGCAATAAAACTCATCTAATTTAAGTGGGTCTATACAATACACCTCTTCCACAAGCAATAAGTCAGAGCTTTGGCGATCTTATAGGAATGTGGTTAAGTTATGCCGTAATTCTGATTCATAATTTATAAAGGGTGTGTGGTCCAGTTTTATCCTTTTTTTAACTGTGAGGCCTGGGATTTTTGTGGTGTTTGCGTCTGGGACACTTATATAGCAATATTTTATTGGCATTTATCTATTGAGACAAAGGATCCCAAATCACTATTGGTTTTTTACAGGTGACTTTCTATACGTCATAAAACCGGAAAGGGTTGATAAGGGTCGCGTGTCCTAATGTACACATATGACGTTAAATTACGTTAAGTTAATTCAGACTTACAAATGGATCTAAATGCTTTTAAATCATGGTGCTGTTCAAATCTGTTGGATTTGAACCACGTTAACGATGGGTAGATGTGCGCTGAGTATAATGAACTTGGCGTCCTTCTGGACCTAAAACTTAAGTTTTCTGACCATACTACTTTTATAGTCAATAAAGCCAGGGAAGAACTTGGCTTTTTAGAGTTGTGCGAAAGAATTCAATGATCACTATGCTACAAAGACTATATTCATTTCATTGTCCAATCCTGGAATATTGTTCATCAATTTCGAGTCCCCAACATGGTTTAGATATAGAAGTATTGTTTTGATTTGAGGCTTTTATATGGAAGGATTTAGAATAAGTGTGTAGGATTGCGGGATTTAAAAGTAAAACAAAATGGTTACAGTGATGAACAAATGCTAAGTTGGAAGGTGGTGTATGTGTTTTTATTCCGTACTCCCAGTTTGAATCCTTTCTGTATAAAACTTTCCCAAAAGTCTTCTTTCTATTGCAAGTAGTATAAAAATCGAACCAAGCCGGATAGGACGAATATATCATATGGATCCCATTGTAACAAGCGGA